AGTTTTTAAAACTAATTTTTATGCTAGTTTTTACTGCTGATTTAATACAATTTAAAAACTAGTTTTTAGTAATGTTTAATTCGGCCTTTTTAAAAATGGGTATATACTACTAATCTCTGAAACTAACTTAATGTACATATCTATATTTAATATCCTAATTATTGCAATTTGTGTAGACTTTGTTCTAAGACCAAAAAAATGTATTTAAAGAGATGTTGAATTTGACATAATTTAAATATAATTCTAAATATAAAAAATTATATTTTAAACTACAGCCAAAAAAAAACAATTCTTTTTCAGTCTCGGAATGATATTATTTTTTTTTTCTCAGAACTATTCTGATTAATAATAAATCATAGTTTAATTTAATTTTCAGAAACATAACTAACACAGTAACACCAATATATCAGCAAATAACTTCTTTAATTAAATTGTTAAACGAACAAACCTGTGTTATTGGATCAAAATATTTGGCAGGAAGTTTAGTGACAGGGCAGATAGATTTTCCAGGTGGTTTCACCTTCCTGTAAGAAAACAGGTATACTTTATGATAACACAATTTATGCAACATAAATAAATTACTTAATAAGGGGTCATCCATTTATGACGTCCACAAACTTTTTGGATTTTGGACCACCCCCCCCCCCAAATCCACTTATTTCCCTTATAAAAGTCCATATCCCCCCCCCCCCCCAGGCGGACGTCATAAATGGATGACCCCTAAGTGTATCATGATTCATGAGTTTTATATTCAATTTTAAAGTGACCTTTTTTAATTAAAATTTGTTTAAATGTAAACAATATGTTTACATAAATAAACCAGTAACAAGATCATTCCCTTTAAATCATAAAATTACTATTTAAATTAACAACAAATGTGCTTTATATTTACAACAATTTTTTTAAAATAAGAATATCATAAAAAAATTATTATTTTTTAAATTGATTAAAATATAGGGTATCTCACGCTGTAGAGAAAATCTCTTTAAACGTTGACTCATCAGTAAAGGTGATAAAAGTTCTTTCACATTTCTCATCAATGGTCAGCTCCGGCTTTTTAGTCTCCATAACCCTTTTGGAAGATAGCAGAGAACGTCTTGACAAAAAATGGAGCGTAGCGATATCCATTATATTTATGTTGTGTAGTGGCTTAACTACAGTTAACATACTGAGCTAAGTGGTATAAATTCAGGGTCCAAAACATTACCCTCAAACCCCTCCCCCCCCTCTTCCCAAGATGAATTAACTGTCAATTACCCTATGGAGAATTACCTATAATACATATTATCGGTAAAATGAGAAGCAGAACATTTTATAAAATAAAGAATGACTGAAATAGAGTGACAGTACAAAATTAATCATTGCCAATACTATACCTATGCATTCTTTGGAATTCAAAACAGTAAAGTGCTGAATAAGATTATTTTACCCAGAACATTTGAAGATGCACTATTACTAACTTAACCCTAATCTTATCCCTATTTCTAAGGCCTATATTAATGTTATCTCTATGCCTAACCCCAACCAGATTTATATCCCTATCCTTTAATCCTAATCCCATCCATAGCCCTATCAGTGCTCTTAACTCTTGCCAGGTCCCTTTTTAATTTAGAATGGGTAATTGACAGAGGGAAATAGTCTAATGCAGTTTTTTAAAGGGGGAGGGAAGGGGGAATACACAGGGAGGTAAGTGATAGGGCTAATGGCAAGGGGAAGTAACAGAAAGGTAGGATGTCTTGCATCCATAAATTTCTGGACATTTTTAGAAATGTATTATTTAGATGACAACTGAAGTTAAGCCACTATTGATTTATTCAATAAAATATTTTCTTACAAAAAAGAAATTAAAAACATAATCTTATACATTGCAAAATTAAACATCATTCTGTCAGACCAACGGGGCAGATAAAATATATTTGTAATAATACAAGTCAGTGCTCATAACAAAATATAACCTAATTTAACTAATTCCATTGTGAGGTATATCATTTATCTATAAACAAAACACCAAACTTGAGACAACCATTAATTGACGTGTCACCTATCTTAAATGTTGTCACCATCTTATGACACTACTGGGTTATATATGTAACAGCATCAAGTCATCAAGGTTCTATTTACTACTTATTTACTTATATAATTAATTTGTTGACTTGTTAAAAATGAAGGCTACATTATTTAATGCCTGTTGTGTTGTACCACAAGTTCAACATTTCAATGAAGCTGTAAGATGTTAGATTTACCATCTCCCAGGTAGAATTTGAGTTACATGAATAGACTTAGCAATTTATTCAATTAATAGCTTTATAAACTTTTAAAATAAAAAACTTACTCCTTCAGTTCTAGGCTCTACTTATTAAAACTTCCATTCCATCAACATTCAAAATAAAAACAAATTTTAATTAATTCATAAAAAATTAATTAGGCATCCAATTAAGTCAAATTTAATGTCATAACGCATTGTCTTCATGTCTTGACCCACGTACCAATTACGAACCGTATCTGTCAGTTAGAAGTGTCCGAATTTTCGCTCCGGCGTTTCGATCTAAACAGACTGACGACAGACTGACGACAGAGGAAGTGAGTTAAATAAAAGCTTGTAAAAACAGACTTACTCCTCTGAATCTACATCTACATCTGGTTCAAAAGGTAGCTCTTCAATGAGGGGCATTGTAAGTGAATGATAACGAATGATAGGGCCTTGGTATGCTTGCTTGACAACCCTTGCTCTTTTCTTTTCCAGCTCCAGTTTTTGATAGTTTTCTAAATATAGTAAAGAAAAAACGTTTTAAGAAGAAAATAACTAATATAGTATTATAGGAGAAAAATGCACGAAGTATTTCATTACGTTAAAATGTTGCCAACTGTGACATTCTTTTATATTTGGCTTTAGTTGTCTCTAGCTGTACTTAACTTTGTAAATAGTATGTGGCAGAAGGGTACAAAAATGACAAGATCAAAACAAAGCTTTTGATATGTAACCCTTTGAACCTTAAACTCCTGGCCCAAATATTCCCATTCCCCATTGTATCTATCCATAATAATACAAGCATTGAGCATATTTATGAGTAATTATCTTAGCAATAGACCACCCTGTATCAAATACATTTGGTATGTGGTTACTTGGGAGACGCCCCCTTCCATGCCCAGAAGAACCAGGTATAGAAACAGAGTGGTTCCTTCATTATCTGAAGTACAACCTCTTTCGGAATTAGACAAATGATCATTAAATCTGTTTTGATTTTAGATTGATATTCCAAACCCAACTTATCTTTATATGAATCATATAAACATAAAAGCAAATCCACTGCTGTTGCAAAATCAGTTGCTTAGGATGCTGATTGTTGGAAGTTGAGGCATGGATTTGTAACACATGCCAAATAAATTGTTATGTGGGTTCAATCCAATCAAATATCAAAGGCCATAATTTACATTTAGAAAAAATAACAAACAAACAAGCTGCAATACTAACCTAGACTTTTCATATTTTGTATTTCTGTTATCTTGGCTTCCTCTAACAATTCTTCTTGTGTCATTCTACGGACACCTGAAACATTCTTTTTGGCTGCCATATCCTTCATCATTTTGTCTTTCTCAATGTCAAGTTTCTGTCTTGATGTTGCGGCTTCTGACTTCAATGCTGTGGATCTTCTCACTGATTTTCTTTCTAGAAACAAAATAAAGTAAAAAAATATTTTCTTTTTGTAAATAATTGCCATTTAATTTTTAGTCTTTTGTAAAAATTATTATTTTTGTTTAGGCTACTTTATGTGTTTATTTTTGTATAAGAAAACAATATCGATTAAGAGATATTTAAATTTTAAACTAATTTTTTCTTTATAGTGAGTTATCCTTTCAGACCTGGTGATCATTAAGGCAGACGAAACAGAGTTCACCTGTTTCTGTGACATCAGCTTATGAAGGAATAGTATGGTCAGTCTATGCTACCACATTTACTTTCCCTAACCAGGCATCCACTGAATAGCCTAGCGGTAGAGAGCTGGACTGCTGACCCGTAAGTTCGAATCCAGATTCAAGTCATTATACCTTCCCTGAGTCCCCCCCAGCTCTGATGGGTACCTAACTGACGTTAGGGAAAGTAAAGGTGGCTGGGCATAGTGCTGACCACACTATCTCTTAATATGCCGAAGTCACAGAAACAAGTGAATTCTACTTCACTAGCCCCACAGGATATCAGGTTTGAAAGGGAACTTTACTTTTACCAGGCATCCATCAGGGTTGTATGTACTTAAACAAGTCCTACAAGTCCAGCCCTTAATCCTAACTCCAGACTTTATCTGGTTAGCAACCATATACACTACTGTCTGACTACGCCATTTGTGTTTTTTAAATATTTCAATGTATTTTTTAAAAATTAAAAACAATGAAAAATATTAAATTTTCAATATTGTTATATTAAAATTTAAAAACAATGAAAAATATTAAATTTTCAGTACTGTTGTTACAATCCTAAGCCTTATACCTGGTGATACATAAATCTGAATTGCTGAAGGTATTTCTTTAGGTTTTTCTTTCTTTGGTTTCTTTACAGGTGGTTTAGTTTCTTTGTCCTTGTCCCCTTTGGATCCTATGTTAAAATAATAGATGGAGCCTTTAAAAACAATAACTAAAAAAAGCCTCATAATTTAAAGAGACACAGATTTTAACACACATCTGTGGCAAATTTAGATACATTTTGCTCTAAGAAATAATATTGGAAGAAAAGATTTCGATTACACTAAAATCTAAAACTGTAAATATAAAGCAAAGAACGGAATGACAGTTTAAAGATAAGGAGCACACACACAGAAATTATACAATCTGCTAAAAGCCTAGACCTGTTGTATGAATATTTTATACAGAGCTTTTTTTTCTAATTTAGTAATTAAATGATAAAAAGATTAATTGTTTTCACTGTCATCAGTCATCAGACCTTATATGCTTTGGTATTGACTCCTTTCTTTTTCTTCTTGGGCTTTCCTTCCTCATCATCATCACTCTTCATCTCATCGTTTTCATCAATACTAAAATCTGAATCTACAATATCATCAGAATCAGACTGTGAAGAATTGTAATCTTTGTCTTCTTCTTCCTGTGAAAAAAAATATAATTGTAAATATGGTGCAAAGTTAACAAAAAGTAGTTTAACGTTAGATTGAATATAAACAATGTCAAGATTTTACATAGCCTTCTGTTTCTATAAACAACTAATGTATTAAAGAAATATTTAACAAGAAATGTCAAAATTTTACATGACCTGCTGTTTTTATAAACAACTAATATGCTAAATAATCATATATCATTTTAGACCTGATTATCAATAAGACTTGTTTTTTTTATTTTAGCTTATGAAAAATTTAGATTTACTGACTGTTCCCATCTTGAGTCAAGTACCCATCAGAGCTGCGTAGACTCAGGAATATTCTATTTTTTCCTACTTAAAATTAAACCAACAATACATAAAGAAAATTGACAATACCACTGATGTACCTCTTCAAATCCACCATATGTAGTCTTGTAAAAATCATCTTCATCCTCTGCCTCCAACAGCTTGGACATCTTGTTCCCAGCTGTTGCACGTTTATCTCTTTGCAGTGCCAACATTTTCAGAATTGTCTAGCTGTCAGACTATGAAAAAAAATCATGCAGTCTTCCCTACCAGCCAAGTTGCTTTTGATGTATTGTGAAATCACAACCTGTTTAGTAAAAATATCTTGTGGTTAAGGTTTTTATATTATTGTTACTTTAGGTAAGGTAAAAGTTCAAGTAATTTTTATTTAATGTAATAGTATTAAGTCTTTGGCTTAAAATCAGCACAAAAATATAATTGTTAAGTATAGTGCGTAAATTAAATATAATTACTCTGTGTTATATTGAGAGGGCTGTTTTATCTCAAAAAAAAAAAATTTTACTTAAACCTATAATTAACATACAGGTCTGGAAAATTACAATTATTAACCTGATAAAAATGTTAAAAAATCAGTACACTCTATATGCCACTGCTATTCAAAGTCAGCTTGGAATATCCCTAATATGCCTAGTCTCAGTTGGCTATCACTTTGTGCATTATAAGCTTATATTCTTACTGTACCAGTAGAAGTTATCTCCACTGAACAAGAGGAAGATTATGATTTAGAGATCAGGGTAAAAGTATTTCTTCTTTGTTGTTCTTAATTTTTAGAGTTGGAAGGGATTCCCTCCTTCACAATGAATTAGACGTGTCAACTGGTTATGCGCCATTTAGGCTGTTGACTCCGATTTCAGCCTGCTTTTCTCCTTTAGATTTGCTTCCATAACATTTGTCCAACAAAGAACAAACTACAAGTCAGCAGATGTTTGATATTGGAGTTGTCTCTCCTAGAAGAGTTGCTGTCCCCAGCTATCGAGCCTCATCTGCCAGAGGGTTTGAACTCGAGACTTTTCGTTTTAGCAACCATGAACTTTACCGACTTGACCACACCGACTCACTTTAATGTATTTATATTTTAACTTGTTAATATCTTCTCCCATATAATATAATCTCTGCACTCCAATTAATGCAATTTAGCATAACTTTTGTAAATTTTAATTTTTAAAACTTAAAACATTTTAGAAAAATGCTTAAAATAATTTGCAGCCGGTTGAGGCCATGCAGATGGCTCCTTCTACCAGGAATTCAATCAAAAGATCGATTCTTAATATTATCCACGATAAGACTAGACTAGACTAAGTGTTTTTTTTACAAGCTTTTATAATTAATTATAGATCTAGGCCTACTCAAAATTAAATAACTCATCCATCACTCCATCAGTGAGTCCATCAATCAGCTATCTCAATCTGTCTTCTAAGTTCTTATATTAGACTAAGATAAGAACTTAGAAGACAGATTGAGATAGCTGATTGATGGACTCACTGATGGAGTGATGGATGAGTTATTTAATTTTGAGTATAATTAATTATAAAAGCTTGTAAAAAAAAACAAAAAAAGTAAAAAAGTCAGAGTGAGTTACTACTAGATCTAGATCTAGATTCTACTTTTTAGATCTAGCTAGATCTAGATTCTAGAATCTAGAATCTAGCTAGACTAGATCTAGATCTAATCTAGATCTAGACTAGATCTAAATACTAAAACTAAATAGTAAATACACAAATAGTAAATAAAATCTAGATCTAGATCTAGATCTAGAAATACTGAAATAGTACTTTAGATTCTACTACATCTAATATAAATAATAGCCTAATAGGTAATCTAAAGATCTTTTTGATAGAATCTAGATGTAAATCTAGACTCTAAATGTGATTTTCTTTTAGTTTTAATAATAAACAAATAATTATAGAATCTAGTAGTGAAACACCTAACTAATGCCTACCTTCGGTTTACTCTAAAATAAAATCATAGTGGTTTCCCTTGATTTAAAAAATAATATACAAAATTCGCTACTATACTAAACGACCCAGTTTCCCGCTGGAAAAAGGTGTGTCGACTGCTCTGCAAAACCCAAATCTATATCCCATTACTCCCACTCCATACTATAAATCCTTTCCACCCAAATTAATCCCTGATCTTAGACACGCCCGCTCAAAGGAGGGGGGGAAAAAGGTGGGGGCGGGGGGGGGGCCTCTCTTCGGGGGGGGGGGGGGGGGCACAGCTCGAACGAAATGGAATTTATATAGGAAACATATACTTTTACCGGTGTCCCCCCCCCCCGGAAAATGTAGTACGCCCTCCGCCCCCCCCCCCTAAAAATATCAAGTGCACCCCCGGAGAAAAAAAATCTTGAAGAAACACTAATAACTTGCATAAAAATAAAAAATAATTTTCGCAAACATAATAACAACCAAATATATGTCTTTATGGGTCCCGAGCCCGCAACTTGACATGTTAAACAGCATATTATTATCTCGGCCACGACGTTATATCTCATTTGAACACATATGTATCATACCCTTATAGTTACTTACTTCTGTAAGAGTTTTGAAGGGACGTTAATCCTAACAGTGAAAAAAAAAATCAGCTTAATATTTTTTTTTAATTAAACCATATCCTAATTTACCCTATTCAATTGCTAGGTAATAAAGATTTATATGAATGATTTAAGGTCTGAAATAGTACCGTGTAAACCTCATTACTCATTGTCTTTTTATACTTAGCTTTGTTTTTAACTAATTAATTTAGATTTTGGCTTACTTTTTCTCTGACTAAAACCTTAGTTTTAGTTAATCATTCAACTATTTATATTCTTGAATTAGAACCTAAAAAAATTACAAATATATAGATGATTCAAGCTACTGATAAAGAAAATAAAACTTTATAATACATTAAACTTTTAATCGGCATCCTGTGTTTAGAATTATATAATTTCTTCTCGAGCTGCATGAAGGAATGACTGTTTTAAAATTGAAATAGGTCTCTTAAACTTATAAATAAAATATACTTTATATATTCTCTTTTTTAAATTTCTCAACATATAAGGGGTCATCTATAAATGACGTCACTCTCGTAGGGGGGAGTGGGGGTCCGTAGTTTTGTGACGATGTGTGATGAGGGGGAGGGGGGGGGGGGTCAGATGTTGCGACGTCACACTTTTGCATTATAAAAAAACAATGTTAGAAAACAAATTTTAGACGTTATTTCGCGTTTTAGATAACTTTTTTAAAAAATTGTAATAGTTTAGACAAGATTTTAGAAAAATATCGATGTTTTAAAAAAATTCAACTGCAATTTTGAGGGGGTTGTAGCGGAGGTGTGACATCATTTTAGGGGGGGGGTCTGGCTTTGTGTGACGGAGGGGAGGGGGGAGGTAAAAATCGTCAAAAAAAGCGTGACGTCATTTATGGATGACCCCTAATACTTAGATCTAGATACAATCATGTTATGTTCTTTAAAAAAATTACTCCTATTTAAAATTAAGTTATAAAAATTATATCAAAATGTCTATACAATTTGGATCAGGTGGATCAATCTCGTGCATATACATTGTTTTAACGGTAATTTTCGATGTGTCTCACCCAGCCCAATATTGTGTCGCCTGGCGACGACCGTTGCGCGTTGCATCATAAAAAGAAACAACAGAATTAGTGTTTACATTGATCAACGTATGCCTGATTGAGGTAAACTCTGCTCGTTGGCTGTCCATATGTCAACGGCCGACCCCGTGCTCTAAGATAGCCGTAAGAAAGCTCGGGTCGCCCAACAACGTTACAAAATATCTACATAGATATTGATAAATATGTTTAACTTGAACGTTAAAAAAAAATAGCGAAAACACGTTGAAATCACCCCAGATGGTACAATTCGTTTGTAAGCTCTATTTGTCTTGTGAAAGAGAAGCGCGAAGTGCCTAGTCAATATTTGACGTAGGCTTATCTGTCTTTCTAACCTCGCCATGCTGCAGAGCTTATGCATAATTTTCTTGTTTTATTGCTATACGAGCCGACCCGCGGTGTATCATACGCCGCTATTTAGTTTTTATTTTTTCTACTTTTCAGTAATTCATAATTTGTGAATTCGACAGTACCAATGCTGCCACTGAAAATATTTGCTTTAAACTACTAAACCCCATTCCCCCCCCCCCCCCCCACGTAAAGCAGCCTCCTCTTAGTTACCTCCTCTAAGTTTAAAATCGTTTCAAACTAAATTATCTGCCCCTAATAGCCGTCACCAAACCCGGTTCTACGATTGTTTTGTAAATATTTAGCGTGAACCACAGCTCACCAGACCATGTGAGGGGGGTGGGGGCGGGTGATAGCGAGATAGAGGAAGAGAGGGGACTGTAAGGCGCGCTTGCAGCTTGTTTTCTAACGTCTCTCAGAAGAGAATTATATATACGAGCCGACCCGCGGTGTATCATACGCCGCTATTTAGTTGTTTTTTCTACAATTCAGTAATTCATAATTTGTGAATTCGACAGTACCAATGCTGCCACTGAAAATATTTGCTTTTAAAACACTAAACCCCCATTCTCTCACCCCCCCCCCCCCCCCCCCCCCCGTGAAAGATGTCTCCTCTTAGTTACCTCCTCTAAGTTTAAAATAGTTTCAAACTGAATTATCTGCCCCTAATAGCCGTCACCAAACCCGGCTCTACGATTGTTTTGTAAATAATTTAGCGTGAACTACAACTCACCTGACCATGTGAGGGGGGTGGGGGGGGTGGTGGTAGCGATAGAGAGGAAGAGAGGGGACTGCAAGGCGCGCGCTTGCATTCTAACGGCTCCCAGAAGAGAATTATGTATATAGATAGATGGTGCTGGATAAGTCGTTATACTTCTAATCACGTTTTGTTACGCTATCCATAGCTGATTTCAAACGTGACGGTTAAAGTTTTTGTCAATTTGTCGTCTTAATTACAGTCCAAGCATCAACGTTTCTAACTTTCAAGTATATCTCCTATGCTAACGTTTACCTATAATTGTATGGCCTCTATTTTTTTTTTTTTTTTTGTCTTTAAAAGAGGATGATCACTTTCTACTTGAAGTCTTAGCGCACTCCACCTCCTCCATATGTTCGTGATTTTAATTCTCCTCCTATCCACCACCATTACCGATCGGAGGATTTAGCCTACAGTTGGACTATAGTGAGTGTGGGATACATTTATGAAAGTGATCGGATGTATGTTAAATCAAAACGGCGCCATTATCCTTGAATTGGTTTGATAAAAAGAATTGCAATTTCGGGGTTCAGCATGCCAGATGCCAGTTTATCTGTATGATTCATAAATTGCTAAATCAATTTTATTTTAATTAATGCTGTAAAAGAAGCTACACATTTAGAAACGCATACAAGATACGGGCAAACAAAAAGGCAGAAGATAAGATGGAAAGACAAAACGAAGGAATAGGCAAGTTCAACACTTGGACGAGGCACTGAAAAGTCCGAGGAAGAAAATTATCAAAAAAGACACTCGGGCAACACGAACAGTCAGACTTCACCACAAACAGATAATACTAATAATGGAGTGCTTAAAAATGCCAAAAGTATTCAGTACGTGCCAAACGTCTGGGATAGGAGATATCGGCAAGGTCGACCTTGATAATTCTATTTCTTAAAAAGTTCTGCAAAGCAACAGACTTGAAATTTTCGGGGGGGGGGGGGGGGGGGGGGGAGAGGGCTGGAAGAAACTCTGGTAGTAATCAGTATAAATTAGATAATGCTAACACATTGTTATCAACCTGTCAAAAAATTTCGGACAACCTGTATGAGTGATAGAGCAATATTTTAACTATGGCATACACTACTTAAAACAGATTATGTTGAACCCCGATACACCACATTCGAGCAGATATTGTATGATCGATGGATTTCAGTGTTATTGGTGTGTGTGTGTGTGTGTGATAGCTTAGCTACTGGATGTTTTGAAAACTCGATAGCCAGATAAGTCACCATTTTCACCAAGTTCCAAAAAAAAGGCTTGTCGTGTGATAAAATTTATTACTAACATATATTTTATTCAAACGGATTACAAAAACATTTGTCTTTACTGTCTCGCCTTTGTCTGGATTATACAAACCATTGCTAAGCTGGTCAAGTGAATCTTGTAGTTCTACTAGTTCTAGCTCCATCTCGACCTGGACTGAACTGATGACACTCATCCAACAGCATATGTTATATATTAAAATGTGTTGTTAGTCTTTTCGTTGGTAGACTGTTTTATTAACCAACAGTTTAATAAAACAGACAACGAACAAAAAATAGACACCTTTAATCGGCTTCATTAACCATTAGTAAGGTATAAGCGCTGACCACACAACAAATAAAAGAATTCAATAACACATAGCAGTAACTTGAGTAACATAGCACTAAAAATGTGGAATAAAGAAATAGTGTTACATAGTTATAATACAAAATGAGATTAAAAAAGAATATAATAGATAAATGAGAAATGTTACAATGAGTCAGAGATGTCATTAAATAAATGTAGTTTTAGTTTAGATTTGAATATATATTCAGATCTAGATAGCTTTATTTTATTAGGAAGATTGTTTACTTTCCGAAAAAAAAGTGCTACCGTTCTAAAAAATGCTCGGAGGATTGTTCACCCATGCCACCCCATGCGGATCATCTCAACGACAGAATCGTTGAGCCTCTCTCCGACTGTGTCGCTGAGAATAAAACCCTTTAGTGGTTTCTCAGTCAACACTGTCGTTGAAAATAAAACAATAATTAAACATGCTCTCCACAATTAGGAAAGCATAAACTGTAGGTGTTTTGAAGCTAATATTCCAGCCATTTTGTTTTGACGAGACCTAGTCCAGATCTAGACTAGATCTACTTGATCAACGATTTACACTGATGTAAAACCTACGTAAATCAAATCTACAAGATCAGGATTTATATTTAGATCTAGAAATCTACATTATTGACTAGAGAGAAAAAGTTAAAAGTATGCCTAGTGCGTCGAAAGTAAATGATAGAATCTAGATCTAGAAAATCTAGTAATTTTTCAGTAGTAGAGATCTAGATCTAGTAGCACTAGTCTAGATTGACTAGATAGAAAGATAATTAATAATTATTTCTGTGGC